TCGGCTACCGTGGAAAACTGTCGCAAATCTCTTCATGAGATGGCTTATCAGTTCGTCATCAGCCTAATATGGGTCCCGGGCCACCAGGACATTGAAGGCAACTGCATAGCGGACGAGCTGGCCTGAGCTGGTACAACAATCCCCCTTTTCAATGATAAGGAGGATATTCGTATGCCAATGGCCACCTGCAAGCTCAAAATAAAAGAACATTATAAGCGACTAATAAATGACAGATGGCAAACTGTGCCACTATGTCGCATAACTCGGCAAACATGGCCTAGCATTAATAGGAAGCGCACCGATGAGCTCTGCAAACTCAGTAGGAGTAGGTGCAGCTCAGTCATACGCTCCCTTACGGGTCACTGGCTAATAGGCACACTTGCAAACAGGCTGGGCGCCCCATATAACGACTTCTGTCGAAGCTGTAGAGATGAGGACGAGGAGGAGACTATGGAACACCTGTTCTGCTCCTGCCCGGCTCTCAGTAGAAGGAGACTTCAATACTTGGGCGCTCCTTTTCTAACTGACATTTCGGACATGTCTACAATAAGTCCCAGACGGATCGCAGGCTTCATAAGGGCATCCGGATGGGATAATGGATAACATAGGGTCTCACGAGGGAGAATGGGAACGAAACATGCGGTATCACAATGGGCCGAAACCGGCCTAGGTGTGTCGGGTCTCTGACAACCCCGACAGCCGCCTCAACCTAACCTAACCTAGGCCTGCGTTATAATTTTTTTCTTTTCCTTTTGTTTTTCTTTTCGCCCTCTCAGTATTGAATTTTTATCTCTTTTCTATGCACTTTTCATTTCGGCTCTCATTACTAATATGGCGAGTATCAATAAGTGGCTGGGAAAAGAGAGACACTTACGAAAATTAAAAGGGAACGACGATTAAAAATGTAAAACGGCATCTTCTACCGCTCTCAAAAAAACTATTTTTAACTATTCCACTACACTTATGCTATTTTTATCGGCTCACTCGTATATGGCAATTATGATGAAGCTCCTCTGCGTTTTTTTTTCTATTCCAGTCAATTGGGGTTTTCTTACTTAGGGTTTTGCTTTTTCACTATCACTCTTAACTTATCACGCTCTAATTAGGCTAGAGAGGCAGATACACGAAAAGAAAACTGATATAAGTTATAAAGGAAAAGGGTATTTTATAACCCCGACGTGTTTCGGCTTAAATTCCGCAGCTTCTCCGTCCCGACGATGTCTTCGGAGGTGCGAATTGCAACTAATTCGGCTCCAAATTGCAGAGAGCGATTATCTCTGCGTAGTTACGCATATTAGAATGCGGCGAATTCCCGACCAGAGGTATTCATGCCAGCTGATTTGTTGCTGGTTTTAGTAAGGCGAATCGCTCTCAATTAGTTAATAGTCAGCTGCTAATAAGCCAGCGATGGACTTGGCAATTCGATTTTAAAATTTGCACTAAGTGCCAATTCTGCAATTGCACATAGAAAAAAAAATGGTTGCTCTACAAGTTGCCCAAAAATTTGCACTGAAACCAACATCTGGCCGACTTACCGCTTACACTACTCGACAAAACCGAACTTTATTTTTCCTCAAGGATCCAAACCGACTTTTTCTGATAGATATGGGGCTTTAAAATTTTTTAAAGAATTATGGTTTTTTTTCTATGGCAGAACTTTTTTTTGAAGAATTTTTGAAGTCTGGTATTTGTTTTTTAAGCTTTTTTCAGAGGTAGCGATAGTTCGAAAAAATGAACAAAAAATACCTTTTTGAAGGCGGCGGGCCCAACTGCCAATTGGGAACAAAGCAAACGAGCAAGGGTTGTACATTTGGTACCTGATCGCGTTCCTTTGTTCCCAATGGGCAGTTGGGCTCGCAACCTTCAAAAAGGTATTTTTTGTTAATTTTTTCCATATTTTAGGTTTGGTTAACGAATTTTAGCTCCAAAGTCTCTCCATAGATTTTAATGAGCGATACCTTAAACGACGCCAAATTAACGCACCTATACACAAAAAAATAGAGGACACAAGATATAATTTTTTTTCGACTTTTCCTGAGTTTTTAAAGTCAAAATTTCGTAAAAAATACCCCACAAAAATCATAATTTTTGCATTTCAATGCTTTATATTTCCCAGACGGTAAGCTGAAATCACAAAGTGTTTGGCATCAACTTCTAGCTGCGTCAATTATCTTTTCAAAATAGCAAAGTTCTTTACAACCAGACGTAAGATACTAGAGTTATGTGAAAAAAACAAGCGTTACCTCTGAAAAAAGCTTTAAAAAAAAATACCAGTTTTCAAAAATTCTTTAAAAAAAAGTTCTGCCATAGAAAAAAAAAAAAATATCATCAAACCATTTCTAAGCCCCAAATCTTTAAGAAAAAGTTCGTTTTGTTCCTTGAGGAAAAATCGTGTTGACTAGTGTTATTGGCGATTGAACCCTTGTTATTTCAACTCGTTATCTCGGTGCTGCTCCACAATTTTGTCTACTTTATAATTTCTTCGATCTTTTTTTAAATTTTGAGCAGAAAAACAATGTGATTTAACCTCGGCGCGGTTTTAGATAGTCGCTATATAATTAACTTGTTCCAGAGACGTCCTCTTCGGGTGCGGACCAGCATAGAAAAGATTATGACAGTAGCTGGGCTCACCTACCAGAACCTGTTAACAGCGAAAGTGCCCCATCCGCCATTGCCAAATAATTAACATCAATAGATAGTTACAACACTCTCCCTCGCGATCGTTGCCACCTTGCACCGCCGATTATGAACACTAGGGTCGCTAGCATAAGCTACAATATTCGCCTAAGGATATTTTAATTTCTCCCACAAACTCTGCAGAAGCACAAAAAATAAATTATCGGCCAGGGACTGAAAAAAAAACCTTATTATTTTATATATCATCGAAATCTGTAGTGGTTGATGGTCGTGTTTTACTTCGCTCCTCCTAAAAAGTTTTACTTTCGACGTTTAATTGAAACCAATTGTGTTTTATTAGTGTACCCTGTGTTGTAAACCGACCGTGCAATCTGCAATCACTACCTGTGCTCGTTTGTGTTCTAATTTCATATTTGTTCAGAGTGAAGACGGCTCTGGCTCTGTGGGCATTCCAGCCACATATCGCTGTTAGCGTTGCAGCTACACAAGCGGTCGCCCTCGCTCTCGCCCTCGTACTTAAGAGCATTTTTCCCCACGGCGACGCGCTCTCGCGCGCATACTCACCACGCTTGCGCTCCCGCTCACGCGCCCGCTCTCGCTGCCAACAGCCCTCGGCAGCTTGATCGCCACCGATCTATAATAATTCGCTTTTGCACCCCAAACAAAACGGCCGGCTTTTGCACGCGACTACCTATTTAGCTAAGTGACTAAAACTACGAATAAATCTGTACATATTGAAGAACTTGGACCGCTGCATCTTGTATTTATTTTGGGAATCGATCCTGGGATTTCGCACCGCCTCTACGCTCAAACATTGGTCCTTCGAGCCGGATATACTTCGCCTTCCCCAACCATATCCAGCATTCCATCACGGCATCGCCTTCACCACCAGGATCTCAAGATAAGTACGATTTTCGTGTGCCACAAATCCCTTCCATTCGCGATTTGTGTTCCAAAATTCCGAAAAGTCCGAGTTCCGCGATATAAGTACATATATATATTCTTATATATGTACTTATTTCTTCATTCTGTGCCATCCGTTATCCGTGTCTCTTCTTTTTTCGACACCGCCATATTATCGGCGATTCCGGCCGTTCTCCCGTCATTCACCTCCAACTACCAGTGATACGGTAGTTTTTTTCGATTACTTGTGTCTGTCCATGATTTGCGGACAAATTAATTAAATAAAAATTAAACAAAAAAAAGTGCATTCCGAGCATATGTATGTACGTACATTCCAGCCCATAAGAGCGGCGTACATACACACACATCTACATCCGTGTCTCTACAAGTGCATTCCATGCACGACCCACCCCAATAAAAATATACACTGGCACACTCCGAGTGCAACTACAATTAAAATTAAGTGTTTTATTTCCATACCTATAACCACACATATATTTACTTCCATACATTCATACATTTATTTCAATAGTTGGCCGCAATATATTGCCAACTATATATGTACATAACAGAATTCCATGCAAAAAAAAATACCACTGCCCGTAGAAAAATACCGCACTCCATACTACATATGTAAATATTCCGCGCAAGTGCCAAATTTAATAATTCGAGATTTCATACAATTCGTGCACTCCAGCCACTTTTCTCGACCGCTACCCCAACTCCAACATTCTCCACTTTCCAAATAAATTACTCGCGACCAAGGCACGGCGCACTTATTTGGCAATTTCCACTGCCAGTTGGCAAATTGGTGTTTCGGTTTTTTTTGTTGTTTTTGTTCCGTGCATTAGAGGTGGCCCAATCCAAGGCCCAACTAACGGCATCACAACACGAGTGGAACAATAAATAAATCAAATTGATTGATTGATTGATTTGATTGAATTGATTGATTTAATTGATTTTTTTGTATTAAATTGGTTGATTGATGGAGTGATTTATTTTTCCACAATCAGAAAATTTATTTTTGATTAGAAAATCATTATTTATTTTTTGTGTGGTGTCCGTGTCACTTCCGTCCGCCTTTCATCCGCCAATAACCCGGTTCTGCTCACGATTGCGTCAAAGTGGTAAACGGAGGATCATCGCACTAACAATATTTCCCAAAATATTGCCACCACCAGTGTGACCGTTCCTCTCCTCAGCTCGGCTCAATATAAGGTCACTCATTGTTTGGGACCTCCACCCTACAGGTGATCTCAAACAATCCGAGTCGATCTGATTATTGCATTCCTGCTAGCTTGAGGTCTTTTTCTCTGCCAGCCGACCGTAACTGGGTTATCTTTTCGAAACGATTTTGGTTGCCTGACGGCTTTTTTCGGGTCAATTCAACTCACTCAGAGCGCATTACCGCCGCCCCATCCGCCTCTTTGTCCGAGGTCCGTCAAGGCTAAATCCTCAGCATGTGGACGGACGTCGAGGCCGAGTACAAGGCCTGCCCCGTGGTGATGACTGACGAGGATCCAGAAATCCAAGCGGACATCCGTGACACATACGGCGAATGCTATGGGGTATTTGAGCCTCAGTGCCTCAGTGACCTCAATGCCCAACTGGCCACATCCACAGTTCTTCCGCCTTCTTAGCCAGTCCAACAGGGCGGCTGTCGACTGCCTCCCGTCAACATTGAGGCATTCTCAGGGACGTTGTCCGCTGGCCCACATTCTGGGATCTGTTCAGAGCGGTCGTGATCAACAATCCTAGATTGTTTCCGGTAGAGAGGCTGTACTACCTTACCGAGAAGACCAAATTGCCGAAGTTGAGCCGGGCGTTGTGGGAAGCGTCCGTAACGGACAAAAAAGAGGTGCCGCCCTGGAAGGAAATCGACTCCTTCCTCACTCAGCGCTATCTGACGCTCGAGACTATTGAGAGCGACCCTTCCACCGCACGAGGGGCTACGAATCCGCCACCCTCCAAAGGCGTCCAAAATCCACCCACCTCTCGAAACCACTCCAATCCATTCCGTTCGCAAGGCAGTCCGACGCCAAACAAGGTGCACTCTTTCAATACCCAAGTGAGTCCGAAGAAGCGAACGTGTGACCTCTGGTCCAAAGAGAATCACCCGATTCGAGTTTGTCCCCGCTTTCTCAACATGTCCGCTGATGCACGTACCAGCTGCAATAAGAAAAAGCAGCTGTGCCTAAATTGCTTCGCAAGAGGTCATCTGCTTCGCGACTGCTCCAGCAGCTTCAGCTCCAGGGCCAGGCATCACACGCCTCTGCATCGTGCCCCTCCTGCATCCGGCGTGACGGCTTCGACATCCGCCAAACTCCCAGCTCATCCAAATCTCAGCCCAACGTACAGAGCTATTTCGCCTCCAGCACAAGTACCGTTCTTCTGAGCACGGCACTCATTAATATTTGCCACCTGGGGACCAATTTCCGTGCCCGCGCACTGATTGACTCAGGCTCCGAGGCGACGTTCATCACTGAACGTCTCTTTAACATTATTAAGCCACCGTTTGAAGCCATACAGGCTCAAGTCGCAGGTTTAAACCAAACCGTAGTGGCTAAGGCGCAAAGGCACGGTCACTTCATGATCGGGGCCGCCTCCAGGCCTGGCCTCAAAATCGAGACCGTGGCATATGTTCTGCCTCAATTAGCAGGTAACCTTCCCTCATATCCGATATCGCAGCACTTCTTGGACAAGCTTTCAAACCTTCCGCTGGCAGACCCCTCCTTCCACCGAAGCTCGCAGATTGATGTGCATTTAGGCGCTGACATCCTTCCTTCTATCCTGTTGAGCGGCTTCCGGTCTGACATTTGCGGCTCGCTGCTAGGACAAGAGACCATCTTCGGATGGGTCCTATCCGGTCCGGTATCAGCTGACTCGACTCGGACGGTTTCCGCCTTCACCACGAAGCTCTCGTTAGATTCGGACGTCCGACTCGAGAAGCTTCTCACCAAATTCTGGGAGGTGGAGGACCTTCCGGGGAGATCGACGAGTGAGTCAGATTATGTGTGCGAGGAAAACTTCCGCAAGACCACTAAACGAGGCCCCGATGGGAGGTATATTGTTACTCTCCCTTTCAAGTGTCCAGAAAATGTCGATCTAGGACACTCCAGGTGCGCGGCACAGGCCCAGTTCCTTAAAAACGAGCGGCGTCTGCAGCGGAATTTGCCGCTCAAAGAGCAGTACGACGCCGTTATCCAGGAATATTTAGAGCTAGGCCACATGACAGCGGTTACACCCAGTCATGACACCGGCCATTACTACCTTCCACATCACGTCGTGTTTAAGCCCGACAGCACCACAACCAAACTGCGCGTGGTCTTCAACGCATCCAGCCCGTCTTCCAACGGGAAAAGCCTCAACGACACATTGCATTCGGGGCCAGTCCTTCAGTCTGACTTGACCACGCAAATCCTGAGGTGGCGAGTCTTCCGCTATATCTTCAATGCCGACATCAGCAATATGTACCGCCAGATCCAAGTGTCTTCCCAACACACGCCCTATCAGCGAATACTCTTTCGCGACCGTAATGGGGACGTGTGTGACTACGAGCTTGCCACTGTCACCTTCGGAGTCAATTGCGCACCGTACCTCGCCCTTCGCGTCATTAAGCAACTCGCACAAGAGGTGCGCCCACAGTTGCCAATGGCAAGCGACATCCTGGAGAGCTACATGTACGTGGACGACGTGCTGGCTGTTGCTCACACTCAATCGCAGGCAATCTCCGCCATTTCAGAATTACGCAAAGCGCTCGACTCCGCAGGGTTTCCACTCCGAAAGTGGACAGCGAACCACAAGGGCGTACTGCGCGACATTCCGGTCGACCACCTACTTCGAGCTGACTTCCTAGAGCTTGACGAAAGTAGCATCGCTAAGACATTGGGGATGCGATGGCAAGCCAGTGCCGATGAATTCTTCTTTGCTCCTCCCGAAGTACTTCAGCGGGAGTCCTGCACGAAGCGCAATGTGCTATCGCAGATTGCGCAGCTGTTCAATCCAGCGGGATGGCTTGCCCCCTTTGTCATCCAAGCCAAAATGTTCATGCAGGAAATTTGGCTAAGAGAGTTAGGGTGGGATGACGTCCTCCCTAGCGATCTATCTCACACCTGGGAGACGTTCCTGAAGAGTTTTCCGGCCATCCAGGATATCCGCATTCCGCGGTGGTTGCACGTTTGTCCAATGGCCAAGGTGCAGATACATGGCTTCTGCGACGCGTCTCAACGTGCCTATGGGGCAGCGATTTACATCCGAGTTGAGTGACCGCAGGGCATTGTCTGTGCCCTTCTCACAGCTAAAACCCGCGTGGCCCCCGGGAAAACGGTTTCCTTGCCTCGACTCGAACTGTGCGGAGCCGTCCTTCCGACAGAGCTTTTCGAGGCCATCCTTCCACAACTGCCACTGGACACCAGCCAAGTATCCTTCTGGACCGATTCCACGATTGTGTTGGCCTGGCTGAACCGACCTGCATGCGATTGGACCACTTTCGTGGGCAATCGAGTAGCCAAAATCACTCGATGTTGGCCCAGCGAGCTGGAGCCACGTCCGATCCGAGGACAATCCGGCCGACCTGGCCAGTCGAGGGCTAGGACCCTCTGACCTGGTTGGAAGTGATATGTGGTGGCATGGCCCTGCTTGGTTGCGTGGTCCAAAATCGGAGTGGCCATGTCCGCGGGACTCAGTCCTTGAGACTGACCTGGAGAAGCGAGTTGTCAAGGTGCACCATGCCACCAGCAGCGCCTCCGACATCCTCAGCCGTTTCTCCGACCTCGGGCGCGCTCTGCGCGTGATCGCCTACGTTCGGCGGTTAAAGGGCAGACGACCCATGTCTCCAAGGAGCTGAACGGAAATGAGGTCGCTGCCGCTCTCCAGGCGGTCACACTGACAACCGAACGCTTCCATTATGCTGGGGAGCATCGGTGCCTGCTAAACAAACAGCCACTCCCTACTTCGAGTTCTCTTCAAAATCTTAATCCGTTCCTTGACCAGAACGGAGTCATGCGGGCATGTGGCCGAGTCCAAGCCTCGGCGTCCATGTCCTACAACGAACGTCTCCTGGTTTGCCTGCTGGTTCGATTCACCCATCATATACCCCTACATGGTGGGAACCAGCTGGTCATCCGCCTTATCCAGGCAACATACTGGATCCCTCGGCTACGTCACGTAGTGAGGGCAGTGATCCATTCTTGTAAGGTTTGCGTCCTCCATCGTAAGCGACTCCAAACCCAACTAATGGGCGACCTTCCTGCCTCACGAGTCACATTCTCCAGGCCGTTCACATACACCGGAGTCGACTTCGCCAGCCCCTTTGACGTTAAAAGTTTCACAGGTTGCGCATGTCGCAGGGGTATGTGTGCGTGTTCGTCTGCTTTTCCACTTAAAGGCCACGTCCGATTTATCCACCGACACCTTCCTAGCCGCCTTCGCTCGTTTCGTCGCGAGACGAGGGTGTCCTCATGAAGTTCTATCCGACAACGGCAGGAATTTTGTCGGCGCGTCCCGCTCTCTGGCTGTGGATCTTCTCGAGGCCATTTGCACTCGGATTTCTGCGGTGTACAGCCAGCAGGGGCTATCGTGGCGGTTTATCCCTCCCGGAGCCCCACATATGGGGGGCTTGTGGGAAGCAGGTGTGAAGAGCTTCAAGGCTTTGTTCCAACGGTCGATGTGTACATCCAAATACACCTTAGAGGAGTTCGCGACCTTACTTTCGAAAATTGAGGCATGTCTTAACTCGCGACCAATCTCTCCTATGTCTGAGGATCCAACGGATCCGTTGGCTTTGAGCCCAGGCCATTTCCTGATTGGTGTTCCGCTATTATCCGTGGCAGAGCCAGAAATACAGAGCCATCCTAAACCGCTGGCAACATCTCAAGGCTCTCAACCAGCAATTCTGCTCGCGCTGTAAGACAAAGTACCTGCGAGAGTTGCACAAGCGTAACAAATGGCAGCATCCGACAAGAGACCTCGAGGTTGGAGACCTCGTGGTGATCAAGGAGGAGAACATCCCCGCTCAGGAATGGCGTGTGGTAGACCTACTCACGGCCCGCTGCCTTATCAAGAGACCGATCACGAAGGTGGTTCTGCTGCCTATGGAATCGGAGGTCCTTTCCACCTATTCTCGCGTAGGCTCCGATTCATAAGCCTCCGTCCTTTTGTTATGCTTAAATCCAGCTTAGTTATCCGTATCCGTACCCGTATCAGTATCCGTATGCCAACCCGTGCCAGCTCTTTACTAATGCTTCGTTGACTCCTTTCTTTCATCCTAGTTTTTTCCAGAAGGCAGATATGGCCCCTCAAACATCCTCACGGTCCCGATCCAGCCGCAGGTCGGATCGCACACGGGCACGAGGTAAGACCTCCTTCCAGTGTGTCGAGTGTCGAGTGTGTCCAGGAGTACACCCACTGAGGAACTGCCGGAAATTTATCCGTTTGAGCGTCGAGAAGAGACTCCGAGCAGTCCTCCTACATAAATATTGCTCAAACTGCCTGGCTCACGAGCACTCGGGCAAGGACTGCCGCAGTGGAGGCCTCTGTATGGTGTGCTCCCGCAACCACCACACGCTGCTCCACCTGCCCGGGACTCGGCGCCCTGCTGGCTCCTCTTCGGCACCGTCGACTTCACCTCCGTCTTCCCGCCCCGAACCACGCCCTCGTCTTCCGGTCAGCCGCCCTGTCATCGGAAACCCAGCCCGACAGCAAACTCCTTGTTTCAGCACCGGAGCATCAACGTCCTCCCGACGGCAATGGTGGTCCTCGCAGCGCAGCAAGCCACTTGGGTGATGAGTGCGCTGATCGATCCCTGCACGCCGGTCAGCTGCATCGACGTGGAGGGGGCCAGGGAGTTGAAGTTGCCCACCACCTGCATCGGGGACGAAAAGTTATGCACCGCCATGATCCGGGCGAAGACAGGAGACTTCAAAGTGGAGGCCGTCTTCAAAATCGAGCCCCGTCTGCGCCACTGTCCGTGCTCGCTTCGACGACAAGAAGTTGGCCAACGAGCAATTTCATAAGCCGACGACCATCTCGCTCGTCTTGGGTGCAGACCTCTATCCAAGGGTCATCCAACCTGGGTTCCTCGCCCGCGCAGACGGCCTTCCCGAGGCTCAAAGCACGGTGTTTGGATGGATTGTGTCTGGTGCGTGCACGCAGACGTAAAATCTTTGCAATCCTGCAAAGGGGGCGGGGGGGAGAATGTTCAGAGTGAAGACGGCGCTGGCGGGGCAACCGCTCTGTGGGCATTCCAGCCACATATCGCTGTTAGCGTTGCAGCTACACAAGCGGTCGCCCTCGCTCTCGCCCTCGTACTTAAGAGCATTTTTCCCCACGGCGACTCGCTCTCGCGCGCATACTCACCACGCTTGCGCTCCCGCTTGCGCTCCCACCGATCTATAATAATTCGCTTTTCCATCCCAAGCAAAACGGCCGGCTTTTGCACGCGACTACCTATTTAGCTAAGTGACTAAAACTACGAATAAATCTGTACATATTGAAGAACTTGGACCGCTGCATCTCGTATTTATTTTGGGAATCGATCCTGGGATTTCGCACCGCCTCTACGCTCAAACAATATTAAAATTATTTTTTCATTTCTTCCGTGCATTCGTATTCACAGCTGTGTTGTTGTTGACGATTGCTCGATGAACTCTCTCTGAGCCGCTCTCTACTCCATTCTTGCCGTTTCTTCATACATACTTGCACTGACGCCCTCTGTTTGTCGCCTCTCCGTGCCCGCCTAAAGCTCTGTGTTTATCTCGTCTCTCTGTTTATCCCGTTTCTCTGTATTTAAGCTTTGATTGCTAACTGCGTTTCGAGCGGCCACCGTCGAACGCTTGTTGTTGTTTTTGCGATCTTTGTTATTGTTTTTGCGTTTATCTGAGTGTTACAAGCGTGAGAGACAGCTTTACCATAAACACCGACTTGATTGCTACCTTTTCCCCATCTATTTTTTTCTTTTTCTTTCGGTCTACACTCTTATAATGAGTACTTGCTGTGCCAAAAAGTGCCGCACGGTAGCCGTAAAGCAAATTTTCACCTACTGCTGGCTGTGTGACAACATGGCACATACGGTATGCGCTGACCTCGGCCAAATTGGTGGACGCGTAGTCGACTTGATTAAGTCTCGCTGTGGCCTTAACTGGACATGCTGGAACTGCAGGCAGATTGAATGCGACATGGGAGTTTTTATGAGACAAACTCATAATTACAGGAAAAGTTTCTTTCTATCGAGTCTCACTTCAAAAATCTTAAAATTTTGACTGAGTCGCCTAAAAGAAAGAAAGGTAACAACAGTCTGCCCACTGGTAATAATGGTGTTTTCCTTGCAGTTCCTGGATCTCCTCTACCCCCAATTCGTTCACCGTCTTTAATAGACTTTGGTGCTGTGGAACTTGGATGTAATGGGGCACCGACTGTGGCTTCTGCATCCGCCTTCTCAACAGCCGCCTCTCCCGTGCCTGTGTCTGACTGGGATGTCAGGCGGGAAGTCAATGACGATCCTGTCACTGGAGCTTCGGTGCCTTCGGTGGAGGCTCCGTCTGCCTCGGCATCCATCGTCAACCCAGAATATGGCCCATTATCTGCAGATTCTGCCCTTCGGGGCAGAACATACTATCTGTCACGTGTTTACCAATCGTCCCTCTAGCCCTGAACGACGAGTGGGTGTCCTTCCAACTCCATTTCCGACTGCTTTAACTTCTGTCCGTCCAACTCCATCTCCGACAGCTTTACCCTCGGCCTCAAAAAACTAATTTCTCCTCTTTCCCCTAAGATAACCTATCAGAATGCTCTTGGCCTGGGCAGTAAGCTTAACAAGCTATATACTGACAGTGCATCTTTCGAGACTTAAATAATCGCTTTTTCCGAAACCTGGCTCAACTCCTCTATTTATGACTCCGAGATTCTCATTGACAAATTTAACATATTGAGGTATGATCGTCCATCTCGTGGTGGCGGTGTCCTGATTGATGTTCGTTCGGACATAGCTTCCCAAATCTTTCATGTCGAAGGGCATAATAACATTGAAATTATTGTTGTTAAGCTTTGCTGGCCCTCTTCTAATCTCTTTATATCCTACTCTTACATTCCGCCGTCCTCCGAATTCTCCACCTATATGCTTCACGTTTCCCAACTTCGGTCTGTTTCGACCCAACTTAATGACTCTGATCGTCTTATAGTCCTTGGAGACTTTAACCTACCTAATATCTCATGGTCTCCTTCTGTGGACTCTAACCTGATGTTCCCATCTATTCAGCATGATTTTGTTG